TAACACTGCTTATGATAGCAGTGTGCTGGTTGACAGAAAGTCCTTCAACTATGGCAGTTATCACTGTATGATGGAATATCTTTAGGCAGTATTATACTTTGTTCTTCTTTGTGGGTATAATCATTTAGCTCACTTTTAACAGAGCTATTGCATTCTGAGCTTAAATTTTTTTTTTTTTAAACATCTTCGCTTCCAACAAGGCTGCAAGCAACCACTAATTAGTGTTGGAAGTTACTGGAAGAGAAAAGATGAAGATTGTAGAGCAAGATAATGATTGAGAGACGACTTAAAAGATTGCAAATTATATGAATCAGGAAAGCAAGATAAAGAAAGCGAATTCCAAAGAACTGATGTTTGAAGAAAAAAACTAGAGGAATAATAGTTTTTGGAGCACTTTGGAACAGTCACAGAAAAAAGATGAGAATTGAATAACAAGCAACACAAGAATGAATTTTAGTAGATGGCACAAGAGACGCTACTTCTTTTGAGCAGTGCCCTTTATAATATTTGTAGAAAAAAGAAAGAGAAGCAACACTACAACAATGTGATAATGGTTACAGGTTGGCTGCAAGAGCAGGTCCAACTATGTTTACAATGCGTTTTTGATATATAATCATTGAAATCACTTTCTGAGCTTTAATATATATAAGTCTTCTTTTTCTGAGAATTCCTTTTCTTTTTTTTTTTTGCAGATTCTTCAGCACCCTGCTTAAAGCTAATATTAGAACAGCCTAGACAACCATTGTCATATCTAATAAGTCTTTTTTCCTTATGCATTTTCAAAAACATAATGTCTATACATTTAGTTTTTTTTTTGTTCTTTTTCTATTTATTGTTATTTCGCCAATTATGATTTTCATACCATGTCTCAACCAAAATACCTTTTTAGATTCTATTATTACCTTAATTAGTCATGGTATCAATCTGTTTTTAAAGGATTGCAGCTTTTTATATTTTATTATTAGAGTTTTAACTTCTTTCCTAAAATTAATGTTAATTAGACTTTAAAATACATAGCATGCTACAAGTTCTGTGTTCTCCAAGTTCCCAGGGAGCCTTCAGCTTAGATATATTGCAGCAGTTCTTTTCCACTTCTGGACAATTTGGTGTAAATATGGCACCTTTATTTGAACAAGAAACTACATTTTTAATAGAAACAGATGGTTTGGACTCTTGTAGGTAAAGATAATACTGGATTATTTCTTCAACAGGTAATAACTAAATAGATGATAGTGTCTCCCTAGTTTTTTTTAACTAAGAATATTTCTTTGTCTCTATTTCTTATTTTATCAAAAATTTTTGGCATTAATTTTTCTTTCATTTAAATAAACTATAATAACATTTTAATTATTTATTTTAAATATATATTTTTTTAATTCTAAAAAAAACTTCATCGAGTATCATGCAAGAACCATTTTACCCATGTTTAAGCATTGTTTAATCTAATTAAAACAGCAGATGTTGAAAATTGAACATTGTTAATACATTCATACAATGAAATCATGCCGCTGCCATGGAAACAGTTTTGTGTACAGAAATGATGAAAAATTTCATTAAATTAAATCAACTTTATGAAAAATTAGTTTAATGACTTTTTTTTTCAATTAAATATATATACATATATAAGAAGAGAGTCTAGTTTTTTTCATATATTAGTCATTGTGAAAATAAATATAGAAAAAAAAAGTTAATTTAATAATGTTGAAGGGTGACACACATGGGTCAAAAAAGGGTGAAAAAAAAAAAAAAAAAAAAGTTTTTTTTTTTCTCTATTTAGTTAAAATAAGCATTTGACAAACTCCTACATTTTGATTTAATTATTTATAAACCCTTTTAAATAATAAATGAATAATAAAACATTTAAAAAATGAAAGCCAATTAAACTTTAGATTAATAATACCTTAAGAAGATCGATTCCAGCTGGTTCTAAGGATGGCAACATTTTCTGTAAATCTTTTGATTTCCACTTTGGAAAAGCAGCCTTATATTCTGGTAATTCCTCCACCCCTTCCCAAATTTCATTATCAGGTGTGCCAAGCACTCTAAGAGTCAAGTAATAATATAAAAATCAGACATTGCTTAATCAAAAAATGTCAAAATGCAATGTTGTGACAGCCTATAAAATTATCAAAATGTAAATCTAAAGGAAATTGAATGTTATAGGACAAATATAAAAAAAATACCCTTTATTTAGGTAAAATTTATTGTCATATAATAAGCGATTATCATATTTGGAAACAAAAAATCAATAGAATAATGTATAATGGGGTCAAATAAAATAGTTGTCAATTTTAAATTTTTTTACAGGAAAAAGATTTTAAATTCTTGTTTTTTTTTTAAAGTTGTAGAGAACTTTGAGTTATACTTAAATTCATACAAAAAAAAATTAAAATTTTCTTTTATTAAGAAAAGTTTAATTGAAAACAAAAACCTTCTTTTACATTAGGAGAGAAAACAAAATCAAATGAAAAGTTATTTTTGTTTTTTAGGAAATATTTAATTGAAAAAAATGATCTAACCATTTACATTGAGGGAGAATGAAATGTGCAAGTTGATAAGTAATTTAAAAAAAATACTTAAAAAAAAAAAAAAAAAAACGATTATTACAATTAAAAAATAACCAATTAATAAACTTTTTTTTTAATCACAAATTTAATCTTGTGACAATGTTTAGTCAGAGAGGTTTTACAAGTTGAACTGTCACTTGTGCTGCACTTTGTTTGCTGCAGTGGTTGAGATGGAGTAATTACTAGTGTTGGTGGCACTGGCAAAAATTCTGGTGGTTGAAATAACAAACACTCAGGTTGAAATGATGATGTTTCAAACATATTAGTGATTTGTATTTTTGATTGAGTAAGCCATCAGTCAAAATAACATAAATTAATGATGACAAGCAGTAACAAACAAGTTTATTGAAACCCGAAACTATTTGTGTGCACATTAAAACCTGCACTAAACTCTGCCTGATGTGCTCTTGGAAAACAGATAAGATACCTTATTGTTTTAGCAAGTTTTTTGAAGCATATTTTTTAATGATAAAGATTTGATAAAGCTAAAAAATAAAACATGGTAAAAATAAAAAAATTATCAAACATGCTAAAAATACAAAAAAAAAATAAAAATAAAAAAACATTAAAGTATAATTATTTGATTGTTAAATCATGTTACTGAGTATTAAATCTGATACTACAAAATGGACTGACATAATAGGAACACTGCTTAATAATGAAACTACATATTGTTACTTGTTTAAATTTATTAGCAATACACTGGATAAGAGTAGTTTTAATTTTACAATGTAACACCTAATTTTATCTAAAGTGATTTTGTTTATTTGTATTCAATTGATGATGCAACAATAATACTCAAATACAATTATATATTTAAAAAAAAAAAAAATGCTTGCAGCAACATTTAATAACCTAACAAGTGTTTTTTTTTCCTCTTGTTAAATTCTTTTTAACAGGGTTTGTAGACATTACTACATAAATGTGAAGAGAAAACAACTGAAATTGTAAAAACATGAACAAATTATATTACACTTTGACAATAAATGAAAATAACAAAAATAACAAAAGTTTCCCCTAACAGATTTTTTTATTGACCAAAAACATGAGTGCAAAATAGGCAGGATGACTTTTTTTAATTGCTAATTTATTGTAAAATAATAACTGTCATAACTAAAGATATTCCAAAAAAAAATTTAAATACTGCACAGATCTATTCCATATTAAAATATGCAAAGGTTAAGCATTTTATTTCAATATTCGCTGTGAATTTGAACAATAATGATGTGATGATGAACAATGAATCACTATTTAGCCATGACTTTTTATTGCTCAAAATTTAAATTTGGTGCTTTAATTTCACTTAATAATTTTAAAATTAAAATAATTTCACTTAATAATTTTAAAATTAAAATAATTTCACTTAATAATTTTAAAATTAAAATAATTTCACTAAATAATTTTGATTATAAAGTTAGGATTAACAAATGTGCTTGTTTGTCAAAATAAAAATTCAGGTTTATTTAAAAAATGTTAAATAAATAATCTTTAATAATGATCAAAAAATAGTCTAAGATTATTTAATTTTAACAAAAAATTACATGTTACAATGTTTTATAAGTGGTGCTTAGGCTTTTTTCAAAATTTGGAGCTAAGTTTTTGAAGACTTGAACTAAGTGATCGCGAATTGTGATATCTGAAAATTCTGGTCTTTAAATTTTTTAGTTTTTAAAACTCAATAGTTGCTATTCAATAAAAAATATTTATATATTAATCTTAAAGTTATGATATAAAATCTCTTTATAAAAACATATTATTACAATCTTTATTATTACAATTATTAAAAATCATGATTTAAACTTTAATATCTTAATTCGATTGATAAATCAACAGACAAAAATAGAAAAAAAAGCATACAATACACTGTAATATTAAAAATGAAACAACCACAAATCACAACAATCTAAAGGAATTTATTGATAATCAAATATTTTAAATAGAAGAAATTGCAACTAATTTTATTATAGATGAGTATTTGACTTTATGAAAATCCCGGAAATTTTTTTCTATGAAAATCCCGGAAAAATATTTTATTAAAAATTGATCATATTAACAGACAAAAAAACTTTCGTAAACTTTTGAAACAGAATTAAGATTATTTAACTTTTTACAAAAAGCAATTTTTAATTTTCGAAATAGTTTTTTTTTTTTTTTTAAGGTACCCCAAGAAGACCTAACGGTCTTGTCACAGAGCATCTCGGAAGTGCATTTGATCAGGAAGTTCACGCCTCCTTCTTTATTGTGATCTCCTGGATCTCCTGCTTATAAAGCAAGCCATGTAACTACTGCGCCACGGCCAAGCCAGTTTAAATGAATTAAAAAGTAAAAAAAAAAAAATTATTACGAAAATTGATCTCATGACAATTTTAATTATAGAAAACATTTGTTTAAATGCCAACGTTGTTGTATTCAAAATTTTCTGTAAAAATATATAATTTTTTTTTTTAATTAATAACAAAAAACATCTCTAAATTTCTGGAAAATTAAAGGAGTTTTAAGTGAATTTCCGGAATTCCGGGAATTCCCGGAAAAAACTCAACTATGTTTTATAATCATATTTAAATCTTATTCAATATTTTCTTATAAATAAAATGTAACCATTTTATTGTAACCAATTAAATTCTTGCAACTCTTTATTATAATATCTATAAATATAATATTTATTACCTATAATACTGTTTACATAGATCATGCAAGGTATATTTTAAAAATCCGGAAAATTGTTCATGTAATTTATCTGGAAAAAATCTAGAATATATTTTTTCTTTTTTTCCTCCTAATTTTGCTTTTATCTGAGTTGTTTCTAATTTTTTTTTTCAAACTTTTCTTTATTTTTCTATGAGTGATGACTGAAAAAGCTTAAAAAACAAATATATTACAAAACCTTATACCTAAACTTGTCTGTATAAAAAATGTTTTGGATATCCGGAAAAACCAAAAGTTGATAAAAATATCGGGAATTCCTGGAAAAGGATAATCCCTGTATTTATAGAAGACAGAAGGTTTGAAAACTGTTAAAAAACTAATTTAAACCACTTATAGTTGTTTTAAAGCAAATCTTTAATAACATATTTTAGAACATATCTTTTAATTATTATCTTATATGTTAACTAGTTTTAGTGTTATTAAAGAGCAATATGACTTAGCAAAGCTGATTATAAACATTTGTTTTTTAACAACTCCTTGTTTAGCATAGCAAATCTTTAATTATAAGCATTTGTTTTTTAACAACTCCTTGTTTAGCATAGCAAATCTTTGATTATAAACATTTGTTTTTTGGCAACTCCTTGTTTAGCATAGCAAATCTTTGATTATAAACATTTGTTTTTGGCAACTCCTAATGTCAATAAATGCGTTATTTAAAAAAAACTTATGTGGTTATATTTAATTTTTAGGTTATAAGTAGCATTACAATACTTGGATATTATGCTGGAAATTTAATAAAAATTTGAAAAAAATTTAATAAAAAAAAATATATACTTACTGAAAAATCTTAAATATTTCATCAATTTCTGAATCTCCTTGAAAAATGGGTTTTTTATTTACCATTTCAGCAAAAATACAGCCTATACTCCATGTATCTATACCACATGAATATCTTTTGCCTCCTAGCAAAACTTCAGGACATCTGTACCAAAGTGTTACAACCTTTAGAAATAGTAATTAAAATTATTGCTTAAAATATGAAGCTTGGCAGAATAACTGTATCAAAAAATATGAATCTTAGCCAAAAAAATCAAATAAGAATTATCAATATATAAATAAGAATATATTAAATACAACAAAATAATAAAAAAAAATCAAATAAGAATATTTCAAAATATTAAATTAGTCATTAGATTAATAGTCAGTCAGAAAATCAGAATATATTAAATTATTTGTTACACCAATGCTGTCAAGAAGCATTTTATTCTTAGCAATTAAGGTGCACATTTTGTGTATAAGTACATCAGTTCGGTTATGTATATACAATATTCTTTAATAAGCTGTTTAATATGGTTTATTTGAATAAATTATTTTTTAGATTTTGTTTGAGGTATAACAATTGTTTAGATTAAGTAATTTATTATTTTTTAAAGTTTTAAGGTATGTTATTCAATGCTAGTAATTACAGTTATTTTGTAAACTACTCTCCAAAGTTGTTCAGGCTGTTTAACAAAATTATTGAAAAAAAATTTGATATAAAAAATAAAAAAAATATTTATAACTTGTTACAGCTTGAAGAACATTGTTATTTTGTTTTAAATGTCATGCTCAAGAATGACACTTAAAACAATACCATCTGATTCTTTAAAGTAAAACTTGATTTGCTGGATGTACTGATTGGATTATAACTATCAACTTAATTTTTTTTCTTCCAATTATTCACCTCCCCAAGGCTGAGAGGGCCATACAGTCAAGGAGGCTATTTTTGTGGATACAACCCCTCTCAACTCTACAAATCCGAAACACAAACCTCAATGAACAAGGTTGCACAGAGAAACAAGTTAAGCGTGGTATTACCAGGGACATTGTCTTTATAGTAAAAACCTGGTTTCATAGATTTTATTTCATGTAGCTTCATGCATTGGCCAAGGTTTCATTTTATTGATCTTTTTCATATTTCCCATAGGTTGCATTAAGGTCCTCTCTACTAATCTTATTACAACTATCAAATTTAAAAATATATATTCTTACAAGTGAAAGCTGTTTACTTTGAAAATTAATAAATTTAATTTTGAAACTAAAAATTTAATCTAGATATTGAAACTTTACAAATAATAAAACTACTTTATTGTAAAACAATTCAAAAAAACAAAACCATGGTGTAACACCAGTCTCCTTTATACTTTTAATTCATTAGTAAAAAAATATTGACTTTTTTTTATCTATTTATTTAACAGTTTAGCAACACAATAGTTTCATAAATCAAGTCAAATACTAGGACATATCAGTAGATGTATATAAATAACATATCAGTAGATGTTGGAGATGTATGTAGATAACATATCAGTAGATGTTGGAGTGGGAGCTTTTAGCATTTAATAAATCATTCTAAAAAACTTAAACTCTAATATTTTTTGAAGAAACTAAAAAAGTATTTAAGATTTTTTAAGAATATTTTTTGAAAAATTAATGAACAAAAAATTTTGGGGTCAAAAAAGTAATTCTATTTCTTATTTTTAAAATTAAAAAATATATTAGTACACTGCATATACATAAAATAAAATACATCAATCTAAACAAACTCACCTCATGTGTGTAAGCTCTTATTGGAATACCAAATGCTCTTCCCAAACCAAAATCAGCTAGCTTTATTAACCCTTTGGAATCGATAAGCAGATTTTGTGGCTTTAAGTCACGATGAATAATACGACGAGCGTGACAGAAATCAATACCATTGCATATTTGATAAGTGTAACTCTAAAGAATTTAAAATAATTTTAGTCTACTTGTATTCTCTCTCCTACAAATATGAATATATATTTATTCATATACAAATATGAATATATCATACCATATTTGTAGGAGAAAGAATACAAGAATACAAAGAATACAAGAGAGAGAATACAAAAGAGAGAATACAACCTAACAACAATGGCACAAAGACTCAAGCTTTAACAAAAATCTTAGGTAATCTTTAACAAAAATATAGGTAACAGAGTTTTCCAACTTTTTTTTTAGAAAAATCAATTGCTTTAAGAGGACCATAAAACTGCTTTACTGCTTATATTGCTTTACTAGACCATAAAACTTTTATGTGCTAAATTTTACAGTTGCAAGTCTTCCAAACTCTATCTTATCAAAAACAAAATTTTTCTTTATATAATTCATTATGAAACATAAACTAGAATGAGTTATAATTAATGAATTTTTAAAACGAGTGTTGTTGTAAAACATTTTCCTACTTATTTTCATATATATAATGAAACATAAATAATTTATTCTTTAATTTTTAATATTAATTCATCAAGCTTATTTTCAAATAAGATTGTTTTTAGTTAAAAAAAATTATTTTTGAGTTAACTCTTATTTTCTTACTCTCTACCACAGCTTGAAATAACTTAATATTAAAAATTGTTAGTGCCTGATACATACATAAAATAATAATATAATATATACATAAATAATGTATACATAAAATTGATCAACTAATGTGATACAATTTTAATTAAGCCTTTCTTTGTGTTAACAGTCTAGAAATAGTGCATTAGTCTTGAAAATATAATAATCCTATACCATTGCTAAAAATATATAAAAATATGAAAACAATCACGCAAAATAATAATAATAATAATAATAATAATAATTTTAAATCATATTTGAAACAACATGTTTTTATGTTTTTATAAATACATTAATATACTTTTTTTTTAATTAAAAATGCATAAATACATTGTATATTTGTCACAAATATTATACCTTTATAAGTGCTTTATCCATTGCAACCTCCACTGTGTCTATGTATTTTTTCAAGTCCATCAATAAAAATTCAAAAACAAGATATAACTTTCCACTTTGGTGCAACACATCTAACAATCTATATAACATTTTATAAACTTTTATTTATATATACAGAATATCTTTTTCCAAAACACACACACACAAAAAAAGAAAAAAAAAGAATTGACTAAGGATTATTAAAAAAAAAAAAACATTGTTGGGAATGGTCAGCTTGTGCTAACTGATGCCGACTTTATTTGCATTTACAAATAAAAACCCTTACAAAAATTTTAAAAGTTTTATCATTTTTTGGTGAAACATAAGATAACTGACATAATCAATATGTAAATATTTTAAAACTTTTTTCTTTTTTTAAATGCTTTCATTTAGTTATTTATTCTTTCAAATAAAGATTTTTATTTTTAATTATTTATTTTAAATAAAGATTTTACTTAAATTAGATTTTAAATAAAGCATCTTTAATTAAAAATTGAAAATATTTTTTTTGGTTTAATTTGAAGAATAATAAATTCCTCTTCTTTGATGTAAAAAGAGAAATTTATTGTTTTGTTACTTTCATATCATTGTAAAAATTAAAATCACAATACTAAAATTTGATTTAATTAATGGAGTATTTTATATTTGGTACACTCTCATTCGCATTATATTTTTAGCTACTGTAATATAATCTTAAAACATTTTCAACAACTTACTGGACAATAAATGGATGGAATCTAAGCTCTTTTAGAATTGAAATTTCTCTAACAGCTGTAGAGGGACATCCCTCATCATCACATTCCAAACGTATTTTCTTTAATGCAACTAATTCACCAGTAATGCGATTTTTAGCTTTGTAAACAACTCCATATGTGCCTACAAATAAATGACTATTATTTCACCTAATTATGAGCAACTAGATAAAGCTAAATATGTTAATACATAAAACAAATGAGCAAACCTTTAAAGCAAAATATATTACTATTAAAATAAATACATAAAAAAATTTAAGCACTTAAATATATTAGGCTGAACTTTGAAGAGTTTAAAACCTATATATATAAGAAACCAAGTCCTAAAAGCCTTCAAATAAAAATGAATATTTACGGCAATTTTATTATAAAACAAAACTTCTAAATTATTATATTATAAAAATGAATTTAAAATTATTTATAAGGTAAGTTTCCAGGTAGCATTAAATCAATTGCTTAATATCACACATGTGCAGCCCTCTCTGATTTAGCATTAAATGAATTGTTTTAAATCACACATTTGCAACCTGTAATAAACAAAGCAATGATATATTATATTAACTAGATGTCTAACTTTGATCCAAAAAGTAAAGCCACTTTTGTCTTTTTTACAAATGGCGGATTAAATTTGTAAACAAATATTTTTAACTTTTAACTTTTTAAAATATTTTAACCTTTCTTAAATAAAGTAAATATATCTTAAATATAAATACTATTTATATAAAAGTGTTAAGAGAAAATTAGAATACTTGCAGAGGCTATTCTAGAAAAAAAATATGGGCAGCCGTACCCCTCAGCCCCAGAGAAATTTAGCGGAAATATTGCAGAATATTCGCCCTAAAAAACATTAAAAAAAAAAAGTCCTCAATTTTTAATTTGGACGGTGCCCGAATATGATTGACACTGTCAAAAACAGTCTAGAATAGCCCTTGACTTGTAAAATAATAATTTATGTTTCTTTAATTCATTTCCAAATTAAAACGAGATAAAAGTTTTGAATAGACAAGTAAAACCACAGGCGCTTTAAAGCATTTTTATGAATTATAATACTTTTTAAAATATTTTTATTACTATGAAATTATTTTAATAAATGTTTAATTATCATTGCTATTTGTAATAAATATTTTAAATTTTTATAATGCGATTTTTCTTATATATTATATTAGGCTGTGCTTGTTTCACCAACGCTTACATGCATGCTGTTATAACTAAAAAAAGTACCTTCATAACAGAATTTGTTATATCTTTAATGTATATTTTAACTTGTTTCTCTGTGAAGAGCCCTTGTTCGTCAAGGCTCGTGTTTTAGAGTTATAGAGCTGAGAGAGGATTATAACAACAATTAAGTAGCCTCCTTGTCTGTAGTGGCCTTCTCGGACTTGGGGAGGTGAATTAACATAAAAATATATCTTCAAAGTTAATTGTTTACTAAAACCCAACATGAAATAATGTTATTCAATAACACTAGCAACAACTGCCGTATCAACAACAGGTTACCAAAAAGCAGGTAAATTGATTTCCAGTGTATGTGATAAATTTTTTCACAATTTTTTTTTTCTCCTTTATATTTACATATCATAACTTCATTACTTTTTTATTTTAGATTTATCATGACACATTTATATAACAGAAAAGAACTTATTTAACAATTGTATTTTGCTAATTTGTAAATTTTTGTCAACTTTTTAAAGAGATCTTTTTACACATAAATAATATATCTTTTTATATAATAAATAATATATTGTTATACATTATTTATTAATTGTAAATAAATTTCCTTTCAAAATATTTTGTGTAGTTAAGGTACTTTTAAAATATAATAGCATCTGTATGACATTTTGTTGACTACAACATTTTTCCATTAAATGGTCTGGTCTGTGAATTATGAAAATACGAAAAATATTAAAATGATAAATTTTGCGGTAACATAAAATATAAATGTTTGTAGCAAAAAAACCCAGACCAAAGATTATTTTTTTTTAAAAAAAAATCATCTTAAAATCACAATCGCTTGTCCAAATTTGAATAAGATTTTATATTAATACATTTTTTAGGTGAAATGAACATTATAGTTTAACAAAATGATCTGTTCTGATCGTTTATTGGCAATTTTCCATAATTATAAGCTCTTTCTTGGTCGGAATTTTAGTATTTTTTGTGAAAATTGATAGGAATAATGTGTTTTGACAACTATATATAGTTAATATACGTCAGAACCAATTAGAACTAGGATCAGTAGTAAATTAAGGAACTTTTCCAAAAGATTATAACTAAATTCATGTTAATGCCGATGAGCAGTATTGATCTAAAGACTCCGAAATAGTGTTCTTTAGATTCACTATTACGGGTAGTAAAAAAGTTTTAAAAATTATATAAAAAAAAGAAAAGTTTTTTTAAATATTATAAAAACCTTAAGTAAAATCTTGTTTGAACATAATATGCTGACAAAACCATATTAATACCAAATAAAAGTATTTAAATATTTTAACCTTAACTACACAGAGTATATATTTTATTAATTTTTATTATTTTTATATTTTTAAACATATTTTTATATTTTTGAACATATTGTATATTGGTCAAAATTTTTAAAAAACTAAAAAGTTTCTAAAAACAAGACACAAGGAGAAAATCTATGATAGGGAGATTTATGTTATCAATTTGATAATGTAGTCAATTAATTTTTTATACATTAAAAGAACAATATTTTCATTTTTAAAGTAAAAAAATGAAACTATTTTATATTCCATTAAAATAAATAAAAATATTTTCTACCTTTATCTAAAACCTTTTAAAATTAATAGACTATAAAGAATAAGAACACAAATGGTAGATTGAGAACAAACCTTTTTAACTCAATACTTGCTTCTATAAAAAATTGAGCAGTTTGTATTATTACTATTATTGTTATTATCATTATTGTTGTTATTACTATTATTATTATTGCTATTATCATTAATGTGATATTATAATAATCCTAATAATAATCGGATTTCTTATTGTTATGTGATGACTTACCCACTAATGCAAATCCATTAAAGCAGGCTTGGTCGGGAAGCGGGAGCGATCGCTCTCGATTGCTGACCACGTAAATAATATTTAGTTGGGAAAAGCTGGCCAGATTTTTTAGTCGTTTTGAGAACATTTTAACAAGCAAAAAAAAAAAGCGCTCAAGATTATTTGGACCGATAAGAGACAATTAAAAAAAATTTATTATAAAATTAAGCGATATTTTTTATCTAAAGTAATATCTTACGATTGTTTAAAAAGAAAACAAATATTCTTTATTAAACAAAGTTTGCAAGTTTTAGTTTTATTTAAGCTAAATTATTTTATAAATAAAAAAGCTAATTTTTATTAATACCTATTTTATGTTTTGCGTAGTTTGAAAAGTTTAACATATTTAAAGTAATTCTTCTTAGTAAGATAAACAATTGAAATAATTAAATCATTGAATTACTATAGACATTAAATTAACAAGATAGAAATCAACTAAAAAGGTTAAAAATATGACGAGGAAGCAAAACTGCTTCACAGTATCGCTGATGATGTTTAGTGAGTGGGCTTTTTAATTAGTAATTTAATTAGTAATTAAAGCAGAAAAAAGTGTAACGAGTTTTTAAGAATGGCAAATGAAGCGAAAATAATTAGAGTTAGTAAACCAATATCTAGAAACTTTTTTTTATATCTAATTATTTGCTATATATATTTGTGTTCTGTCGTGACCTCAGGCGCGGTGCTTGTTCATCCGCGAGTTACTTTGTATGCGTTGTTTGTGTTTAGTAACCAGAAACTTCTTATATGTGTTACATGATTAGTTTTATTAACTTTAACGATGATAACTTTATTGAAAACGCAATTATTTTTGTAAGTCTTTGTTTAAATCATAAAAATTGCTTTAAAAGATACATTACGATAAAAAACAGATCAACAAAATTACATTTACATAAAGAATACATACTTTTTAAATAAAAAATAAGAATGTACAAATAAAATCTATAATTTATAATAAACTTTTAAAATTTTGACAATTTAATTAATATATATTTAAAACATTTATTTTTGTAAACAATATATATATATTCTTAAAACAATTTATGCTAGAAATCTAAAAACGTAACAAAACGTGAATAAAATAATATATAAAACATTTCAACAAAATGCTCCGAAATTTTATTTCGCTTAGTCAGCGTATTTTTTGAACCAATAGAATTAGTTTGTTCGTTAATTTGGGGGGTTTTTAGTGTTCGCAAATATTCTTTTTATTCTTTCGCACCAAGATGTTTTGAGAACATTCAAGTTTTTATGTTTCCATGTATGTCCGTAAAACAAAAATTTTTTGTTTCGTAAATAAACTTAAATGTTCTCAAAACGACTAAAAAACCTGGCCAGTTTTTCGCAACTAAATATAATTTCCGTGGTCAGTATTCGAGAGCGATCGCTCCCGCTTCCCGACCAAGCCTGTTAAAGTAATTAAATTCAAGTGTTGAAATTCAAGTGTTGTTGAGAAAAACAAAACAAAAAAACACAACTCTATTTTATTTACAACTTGAGTTTAGGTGTGTTCTTTTTAATGTTTTACAGCAGACTTTTTAACTTATACAAAGAGTATATAAACATAATCTGAAAAAATTGAATTTAATATACTTAAAAAGCTTAGGATATATTAACTCTACAACAAGATCGTAGTTTTATGTTCTTGATAAATCCTTGTTAACATTACTGCTATTTCCATGCTTTGGTAGCTGATTCTATTACTGATGTTAATGGATAAAAAATGATACCTATAATTAGATTGATAAAATATTAAAAATATTGGCATTAAACCCATACTTATTATGGGAACTAGAGATTTAGCAGATAAATTTGAAAAATGAAGAAGAGGTTTGAAGAATAAAAGTTTTAGTATTTGACGCCACGGTAGACGCTTAACAAATGAAACTCTGGAAAAAATTTTATTTATTTTTATTGGAAATTTTTTTTTGATTATTTGTTTAGTTTTTTTTTCTTTCTATTTTTAACATTAAAAAAGATATTAAAAACCTCAAATATTATATGCTGGTTTGTCGCTATAAATTGTTATTGCGCCATATATTTAATGTTTATAAATTATGAATATTTATTATCTCAAGACTCTGAAAAAATTATTTTACATTAATTACCTGTATAAAATTAGTAACAGCATTTTTATTTGGTTAGACAATATTTTGTTTCAATTTGATTTGCATGAAGTTCAGAAAGTCAAACAAAAAAAAATTAGT